TGAAGGAAAAACAAAACCATGAACAGTATTTTGGCATGCCCACATGGTACAAAGTGGACAATATTTTGGTGTGTGCTCTGGCTGTGGGGTGTTGACAAAATGGCATCGTTTGTGGGAACTCTAGCTCCACCGCGTGGACCCACACGCTGGGGGGTTAACGTGGGCAGTGGAAATCTTTCCCACATCGGTTCGCTAGAGACTCTTGACCCACCTTATAAGGTGTGCCATGGCCTCAAACCTCCAAGGGACTTGTTCTAGTGGAGGAAAAATAAAACTGTGCCTGCCTCCATGGTACAAAGTGGACAATATCTTGGTGTGTGATCCAGCAGTGGTGTGGTCCATACAACATGAAAGATAGGAAAAAGAAGGGAAAAACATGAGTTCAAGTATGGGTTCATCTAACCAACACAACATAAATAGATTTAATCAAATAAAAATCCTAGCATGGCATCTATACATTAAAAGTAGATAAATCCCAGTCAAATAAAGATCTAGCAAACAAATGGAGAGGGGATGGAGGAATGAAGATCCAAGCCACCAATACTTCAAGTGTTTGAAGATGTTCCAAGAATACTCCGACCAAGTCTTCAAACCCTCTCTCAAAACTCACCAAATGAACTTGCTAAACTCATTAGAACATAACCCAAACCTTAGATCTTATGAACTAAGGCAAGGTAAGAGTTCAAGCTTACAAAAAATGGAGGTTTGTTGGACAAAATGAAAGAGAAATGGGGGAGGAAGAGCACACAACAGTGCTGCTGGTTTTTGTGCAGAAAAAGTGGGTTTCTCTCTCTAAAATAATGTTACGTGATGTAGAAAAGTGTCCCCCTTAATCCTTGATCAAACCCCAATTAATCAAATTTATCTAAAGGCTCAAATTCAATTTAGAAAAAAGACAAAACAATCCAAACCATTCACTAAAATTCAGATTTTCGTACACATGCTTATATACATATAAAATAGGTTAGTGTTAGAATTTACCTACACCTACCACCACCTACTACCACACCTACTACACCTACCACCAATTTACCCTCACCTACTCCTCACCTACTACCCAAACCCTCTCTTATATAATGAGCTACTCTGCTTTGTAATACAACACAACAATCAGATATCAATCAATACATCAATCAATTTTAACATGGTATCAGAGCTATAAGATTTAGGCCTGTATTTCTTTCTCACCGGCGGGCAGCCGGCCGACAACTTTGCCTTCGCTGCCCGCTGGAATTTTCTACACATAGCTTCGAGTTCTTCGCCATCAACGGCGGCAACATACTCCCTGAAAGAGAGACAGACAGGATGATCTCGTCGTCCCCGAAGAGCTTCGTCATTCCAGCTCCCAGCGAGCCAGGCAAGATCCAGTTGTACTCGCCTCAATACTACGCAGCCTGCACTGTCGGTGGCATCCTCAGCTGTGGCCTCACTCACATGGCCGTCACTCTTTTTTTTTTAATCTACCTTGCTGGCTCGGCATCTGCGGAGGTGATTGCAGATGTTGCTCTTTGCTCCTTTGAGGTGGTCAAGGTCCGTGTTCAGACTCAACCAGGCTTTGCAAGAGGACTGTCAGATGGATTTCCTAAGTTCATCCAATCTGCAGGCACTCTTGGGTTGTACAAGGGCATTGCTCCTCTTTGGGGACGTCCGATTCCATATACAATGATGAACTTTGCCTCTCATATTTCCATCTCATCTCATCTCCTCTCTCTCTCTCTCTCATATTTCCACTTTCTTTCAACCCCTGAGTTTGTCCCCTTGGTCTTGGACTCTCTCTCTCTCTCCTATCATACACAGATCCATACATTATTTTTATTATCACTTCCTCTCACTCTCTCATAAAATAATACCCCCACTTTACCTTTATTTATTTTATTTTATCTTCACTTTTTCTTTATCTGCAGCTGCTCCACAGGGCACATGCTTATATTATTATTATTATTATTATTATTATTATTCTTACCCAATTAGTTGAGTTTTGATTCGGACACTCCAATGCCAATCAAAAAAATGTTCATCAAATTTATTTTGTAGTACTCTTTTTGAGGATTCAAGTTCAAAATAGCATTTGAATACAAAATGTGATTTTGAAAGCATAAACCCAAGAACATGATCTTCTACCATTTTTAAGTCATAGAGTTCACTAGAGGCTCTTAACCCACCTTATAAAGTGTGGCATGCTCACAAACCTTCAGAAGGCCTTTTCTAGTGAAGGAAAAACAAAACCATGAACAGTATTCTGGCATGCCCACATGGTACAAAGTGGACAATATTTTGGTGTGTGCTCTGGCTGTGGGGTGTTGACAAAATGGCGTCGTTTGTGGGAACTCTAGCTCCTCCGCGTGGACCCACACGCTGGGGGGTTAACGTGGGCAGTGGAAATCTTTCCCACATCGGTTCGCTAGAGACTCTTGACCCACCTTATAAGGTGTGCCATGGCCTCAAACCTCCAAGAGACTTGTTCTAGTGGAGGAAAAATAAAACTGTGCCTGCCTCCATGGTACAAAGTGGACAATATCTTGGTGTGTGATCCAGCAGTGGTGTGGTCCATACAACATGAAAGATAGGAAAAAGAAGGGAAAAACATGAGTTCAAGTATGGGTTCATCTAACCAACACAACATAAATAGATTTAATCAAATAAAAATCCTAGCATGGCATCTATACATTAAAAGTAGATAAATCCCAGTCAAATAAAGATCTAGCAAACAAATGGAGAGGGGATGGAGGAATGAAGATCCAAGCCACCAATACTTCAAGTGTTTGAAGATGTTCCAAGAATACTCCGACCAAGTCTTCAAACCCTCTCTCAAAACTCACCAAATGAGCTTGCTAAACTCATTAGAACATAACCCAAACCTTAGATCTTATGAACTAAGGTCAAGGTAAGAGTTCAAGCTTACAAAAAATGGAGGTTTGTTGGACAAAATGAAAGAGAAATGGGGGAGGAAGAGCACACAACAGTGCTGCTGGTTTTTGTGCAGAAAAAGTGGGTTTCTCTCTCTAAAATAATGTTACGTGATGTAGAAAAGTGTCCCCCTTAATCCTTGATCAAACCCCAATTAATCAAATTTATCTGAAGGCTCAAATTCAATTTAGAAAAAAGACAAAACAATCCAAACCATTCACTAAAATTCAGATTTTCGTACACATGCTTATATACATATAAAATAGGTTAGCACAATGTTTAGAGTAGTTTATACCCAAAGAGGAATGGAAGCATAAAGTTAGCATTGAGGTACAAAGTGTGCTAGGCCTTTTTTAGCAAAGTCAAGGCATGAGGGGAGTAGAGAGGAATATTCAAATTTGTACACTAATGAGGGTAGATGAGACTTTAGTTTATTGCAAACTTGGCCCATAATTCAAAATATTAAAATATCTCAAGCTCTTTTGCAATTTTACAACTTTATGGGTCTTGCTGTGCAATTAATAAATCTAAATCCATATTAATAATAAAATAATAAAATATAATATTTTTAATAAATAAAAGTTGTCTATCTGTCCCGGAGAGTCTTATCTCTCTAATCTCAGGTCAGAATGGAAAACAGTTTGTACGTGCAATTAAAATTATTTGTATCTCAATTACAATAAATGAAAGTTTAAATAATTTTCAGTTCTTGCATCATGTGGCCCAAATTGTGTAATTATTAGTCTATCTTAAACTGTTTCTGTTTCAAGTCTCGATTCATTTCAAATAATTAATTATCAATTAAGTATTATAAAAAATATATTTTCCTGTTAATTTAATTTTTTCAGGGTCTCCACACGGTCTACTTTTAAATATTTATTTTTTATTTTTAAGAAATAGTACATGTTTGGATGAGTGTTGAACATGTGTCGTGAAGTGTTCAATAAGTGTCGGTGTCCGACATGGACACAACACCTTTGAAGTGTCCACATCTCTCAAAGTCTTAAAGTTAACATTTAATCTAGAGGATACAAGTATGGTGTTTGTAGCATTCCCCGTCCACCTCGCTAAGTCATTTCATTGATTTTCTCTCTTTTGTGCTTGTTAAAGAGTTTTTGTTCAGCATGACAGTATTTTGCTTCTGCATGAGATTTATCTGTTGGCAACTTTTAGGAGCATTTGAAACTGAGTGTTGCAATTTAAAACGCATGGGATTGTCTCTGTTTTTGTACTCTTTTGTTTATGAAAAATGCTTGGGAGCACTAATTAGTGCTCCCACTAATTAGGTGGCAGTGGGTCCCGTCATTAATGATGTGATGTTTTGGTCTTGGAGTTGTATTTTTTTTTTATTTTATTTTATTTTTATTTTTACTTTTTTAATGCATTAGTGCTATTAGTGGTGATGTTTTTAGTGGGATGAATCATTGTTGTTTGTTTATTTAGTTATTATTTATTTGGGGATGAAATGGATTTTTAGTGTGGAAAATTGTACATTCATATTTACATTTTCCACTGGAAAATTTCTAGTACACTGTTTCAGGATAGTATGTTTCTTCATTATTCTTAAATTATAAATGTACTTCTGGATATTTTGGACTTTTAGTTGTAGTTTAGGTACTTTGGTTGTTTTTATTATATGTTTTTGTACTCTTTTGTTTATTTAGTTATTATTTATTTGGGGATGAAATGGATTTTTAGTGTGGAAAATTGTACATTCATATTTACATTTTCCACTGGAAAATTTCTAGTACACTGTTTCAGGATAGTATGTTTCTTCATTATTCTTAAATTATAAATGTTCTTCTGGATATTTTGGACTTTTAGTTGTAGTTTAGGTACTTTGGTTGTATTTATTATAATTTTTTTATTTTAAATTTTAAATTTATATGTGCATGCATTTTTCTTGGTAGGTATAAATGCATGCATTTTTTTAACATCTATTCTTTGTGCCATTGTAATTCAAAAAAAAAAAAAAAATTCATATGACTCAGATTACATTTCATGATACTGTTTCAAGAATAATGGCTGGATAATCATTGTTCGATTTCTAACTCAAATTACATTAATGATGTGGTTTCTATTCATGTTAACAGCATGGTGGTAGCACAAATGCTTTTACATCCTCTGAGCGCACCAACTATTATTTTGATGTTATTTCTGACAGTTTTGAGGAGGCTTTGGACAGGTAGATTCTGTTTTTCTTTCTGTCAGATGTTAATTTTTATTCTGTGCTTTCAAACGCTTTTGGCCTAGATGTTATCATGTCGTTACTGTTCAGATTTGCACAGTTCTTTATCAAACCATTGATGTCAGCTGATGCTACAACGAGGGAAATAAAAGCTGTTGATTCTGGTTAGCATTTTCGTTTTGCAACTAGATTATGTTGTCACACCTGTAAATCTGCAATCATTGGTGATCACCACACCCCTTAACTCTCATATGCAGAAAACCAAAAGAATTTACTGTCTGATGCTTGGAGAATGAACCAGGTGTGAATTATTTCTCCACTTGCCACCTGTTATAAGGTTTTTTTTTTTTTTTTTTTTTTTTTTTTTTTTATTTTTTTTTTTTTTTTTAAATTTCTTTTAGTAATTGCCCACTGGTGGAATTTAGCTTATGGACAAGCCATGTAAATTGTCCTAGAATTCATTTGACTCACTGTTCTATTTATTGATTTATTTATTTTTGGGTATTATTATCAACATATTGAGACTTTGATGTGAATTGGGTGTGCTGTCCTGCCTATAATTATTTTGATTTTTATATATATATATATATATTTATTTGTTTACGTATTTTGATGTTATTTATTTATTTGTTTTCACGCATTTAATAGTCAGCACAAATGTGAAGGTTGTAGGAGTTTCTGGAACAATTTCATCTACCGGCCATTCCTAAATGTATCTCAAACTGCCTATATGTCAGTTTTGGTTTTGGTACAACTGCCTTCCCTCACTTAGTTTAGCTTTCTTAGGCAAAAGGGAAGTATTATCTGCTCGCTGTTTGATCTAATGGTTCTCTATAATTTCTTATTATGGAATTTAATTTTTTAGAAACTAAGATGGCCAAGAAGTTGTTGAACCTGCTTGTTTTCTTCAATATATAAATCATGTCTGTTCATGCTCTTCTTTGGATGAAAGTTGGGCTGTGGAAAATAGTGGGATGTTCTTGAAAAATTATTTCTTCCTCGTTAACAAGAAGCCTCGATTCATATTCTAAAGTGGGGAATTGTGGAAGGCTAAAGCTCGGTAAAATGTGAAAGCCATTGCTTGTTACTGGGTCATAAGAAGGTCCATACCAATCAAATGATTCAAATTTAAAGGCCAAAGAATGCGTTTTGTCCTGCTATAAGGGTTCTATGCCTCTCAAGATTGCTCTACTGCTTACAATTTGTGGTGATGACTGGTTTAATTGGCAGGTATTTCTTGGTGCTGCCTACAAGTACCTCATCATTTTTTTCCCCAACTAGTGGCAGGGCACATGCAATGCATGTGAAGAGTTTATCTTGAATTTTTTAAACTCTTTTGGGTTGTTTGGTGGTTGCTTTTTCCAGAAATTTAAATAAAAAGTGGATTTTAACTAAAAATGAAATGAAGGATGAAAAACAAGAGCTCCAAACTTAGCCTTGAGAGGGCCCTAGTGTCAGAACTATGCAAAGTTATATTTGTCATGACATATCTATCCTTTGAAGTTGCATATAGAAATGGTGAATATGTTGATCATGTTAGAACACTATCATAGTTATGGTTTGGTCTCCATTATTATATTAATTTACTTTTTATCGGAGCACTTTGTAGTTAAGGATTGGTATCTATGACTACCTTAAATAATAAGTGATATGCTTTTTGAGTACCGCTAAATGCTATCACCTTTCTTCTGTGGACACTTATCCCCTTCATTTTTTTCCTATTACAATTACAATTACAATTTTTCCCTAACATAAACTTTTCATTTTATCCACATCCCAATCTTCTCAAGAGGGGCCTGCTAGATTTACAGTTCAAAGAAAAACAAGTGGGGGTCAATTTTAGTGGGTGGAGGTTTCAAAGAAGTGGGGGGAGGGGTCCAAAGTAAAAGGGTGGGAACTAAAAGCAACACTCATACATATATATATATTCTTCTTATCAAAATTTGAATAAGTGTGGAAATATCTATTATGTAAGATAGACAATTTTCTCTTTATCCCTTTGTAGTTTGGTTTATGTGTTGATAAATCCGTTATCATTTAGAAATAAGCACATTGCCCTTTGTAGTTTGAGGACCAAAATACACCGTTAAATTCTGTCAAAATATCCTCGTTGTCTTCTCTAAACACACTAAGATGCACAAACACTTCTAAGAAGGTGATGTATCTGTGTCGTGTACATGGTGGACACCGACACTCTTAGGACATTTTCCAGACACGTGTCGGACACTCTTCAAAATGTGTCCTACTTTTTAAATTTTTTTTAAAGATCCAGACACTCTTTGGACACTTGGAGGACACACGTGTCTATTGATTAGACACATATGAAATTAATTATAAGTTTGAATAAAACAACTTAAGATATAATAATGAAACAAAAATCATATAAATTTATCAAACACATGATTGGGTTCAAGATGTTTGTATATTTGACAAAGAACAAGATGATGACCAGTGTGTTTTCCCCTTTGATGCGTCAACAAGTGAAAAGTTGGAGTATGAAGAAGTTAATGGTTACAGTTATGAAGAAGAATCGGTTTGTGATGAAGTTGTCGTTCATAGGGTTGATGATGTTTCAATCTTTGATTCTTATGATGACGACGGTGATGATCTTCTTGTGGATGGAGGGAACGATATTGGAGATGAAGCATATGACAATGATGGTTGGGGGTCATCTTGGCTTTGCTCTTACCTTGCTTCCCATGGAAAAAGTGGTTGCAACGCAACCTTCCAAGGAAGTTATGGTGGAGAGTCATGAAGTTGAAGTTTCATGGGTGTTGGATGATCTTTGCTTCTGAGAAACGCCTCCTATGCTATCTTCAAAGCCAGTTGTTCCACTTTGTGTTGAATTGGTACTTGGCCGGCTTCTTGAAGGAAGGATGAGTTTATTTTTGGACCATACATGAAGCATTATTTGTTGACATCTTTCTTGCAAAATGACATGCTACATTGGTGGCCTATTCACACCTCAACAAGTCTTCGGTTGGGGTGCATAAGCAAGAACTCGTTTTGAAGGAGAGATATTTGCTAGGGTGATCTTGAATAAGGACTTGCAACTACTTAGTCTTGTTCGCCATTGTGTGTACATGGTGCTTCCATTTGTTGATATTTTGAGTTTTTTTTTTTTTTTGTTTTGTTTTGTTGATGTCCCAACTTGAGGACATGTTTTCTCAGTGGGGGGAGTCTGATGTAGTTAGAATTAGTGGTGTAGTTATGTTTTAGTATCATAAGAGTTAGTTGGGTCTCTTGGCCTAAAATAGGTAGTTAGGGTCTAGGAAAATGAGTTTTATGGTTTTGAGATCGTATTTTCAGAGCTTAGTGCTCTTGTATTGTATCCCATTTTGGGCAGTTTCTTTCTCTAATGAAATCTCTTTCCTAAAATGGCTTCATCAACATGTTAGCTGGTTTCTTCTATGTTACTTTTCCACTTACGTAGTTGACTAAGATGGTAGTAATGAAGTAATTGCTAGAGTAATACTTCAGATACACACGACATGAACTTGGAATACAGAACTCATATCCATGTAAATTCATTATTATGTTTGTCTCTTATTCACTTGTAAGTATTGTTTACAAAATACTACTTGAAATAGTTTGTTTTCTATGAGAAGGATGGATTGAATTAGAAATACATAGTTTTATCATTAAAGAATTCCTGTTAAATTATTTTCTATCTCACTCTCTTTTGAGTTTGTTGCTTACTAAATAATACTTTTAAGGAGTTTGCCTCTCTAACTGCTTTTCTGCTTTAAATTAATTATTCTGTGCAGCTTCAGAAACATCTAAGTGCAGAGAGTCATCCATATCATAAATTCAGTACAGGTTGGCAATTTCAAAGTGTTTATTATGTTACACATCATTTAAACCTGTACAGCTGAAATCTTGTTGTGCATGGATTCTATTTCGCTTGGTTTTAACTGTAGTTATGTTATGCTTACTGATCTGTGATTATCATGATGCTCATTTTTCTTTTTCTTTTTTTGATAAATAAACAAACTTTATTAGAACGGGATCAAGGTGATACAAATAATACAAAAAGAACAACCCTCAGAAGATAAAACCTAACTAATCAAATCATCCCCAAAATCTACTAAAGCCAACACATCTGAATTAACCGAAATCATGACCCAACTATGCAACATCGTAAGAGGCCTCGTCTTCAATCATAAAACCAAATGAGACAAGCCTTGAAAAATACATCCAACCAAATCAATGACATAAGACACTAGGACACTAGCATCCACGCCTTCTGATGCCTCTTCTCTACCCTACCCCCACCCTAACTCCACATCACCTCCACCACCGAACCTGATTGAACACAAGCTAAGGCCAAAAGTCGCAACAATAAGCATCCAAAGTTGTGACACTACCAAACAATGAATAAGCAAATGATCCACTGTCTCCACATCACTGCAACACAAGCAGTACCAGTTAACCAAAATATGCCGACGTCGAATTAGATTATCAATAGTCAAAATGCGCCCCAATGCCAGCGTCCACACAAAGAAAGCTACCGTGGACGAACTTTTTGCCACCCAAATGCTCTTTGAAGGAAACACATGAACATCATCACCAACAAGAACCCGATAAAAGGAGGACACCAAAAAAACCCCTTTTGACCGCAAGCAATCCCAAGGAATCCTCCCCTACCCCCCAATCACAACCCATAAAAGAAGCCCAAAGGATCCACCAATTGATCCAACTCCTAATCTTGTAACTCCTGACACAAACTAACATTCCAAACAATCGATTGTCTCTGCTTAAGCCCATAAGTTACCACCGTCGCCTCCCGATCAACCGCAATACAAAATATCAAAGGGAACATCACCTCCAATGGCACTTCACCACACCACCGATCCCTCCAAAAACAAACTCTATCCCCCACCCCCACCCGGAAACAAACCCTCTTCCAAAACTCCTCCCTTCCACACACCCCGACCATGAGTCTGCCCCATTGGGCTATGATGTGTCATGACATACTGGTTGTGTTTCACTAGGAAGATGCTTGTTTTTCTTTCTTTTGTTGATGTAAAAAAGTTTTGGTTGTTTTTGCTTGTATAAACCCCAACACCCCACCCCACCCCCCCCAACCTAACCATGGAAATCATTAAAGAAATTTTAAAGAATTATCTTGGCATTTCTCTTTGCTTTGGTTGTACGTCTAGGTTTGGGTGTGCTTGAGGGACTACATGTCTTTATATTTATATGGACTTTTTTCTCTTTATCATCAACAATGAAGAAATCATATTAGAGAATGTGTCGAGGGGGCACAAGCCACGCAACCTTTGTACAATTTATATCTTTATGTAGTCTTTGCAATATCTCTTATGCTCTATTGTTATTTCTTTATTTTTTTAATAGAATTATCCAGTGGAAATGATTTTTATTTTTATAAAGCACTTGGATTATTAGTTACTTTATGACTACCCAGGTTTCTCCTGTGGGCTGCTGAATTATGGGGGATAAAACAAGGAGAATAGGATCAAGGCTTGCAAGACTGTTACTGTTAAATTTCGAGATTTAAAATGGTCATGAACGGTTAAATTCATATGTAGCCTTTATTTATTTATTTATTTTTTATGCTAGAATAGTATATGGATACCTCATCATATGACAATGATGTGGGATAACATATACTTCCGTGGAAATTATATTACCCGTGTGGCCATGGGGTTTGTGGACTCTGCAATGTGCAATAGCCCAAATAATGGGAAAAAAATGCAAAGGAGCAAATCCAAAATTTGACAATAACTTGGATCTGCCAGGTAATGCAGCCATACGTTACTAAAAGAATGCTATGAGGATATGAGCTGAGAACTTATAAATGTAGTAAAAAACACTGCAAACTCAAGAAAGCATTGATCTCCAAACAATTGAACAAACGATGACAGTATATTAGCCAAGTAATATGAAAGAAAATATTGGGAAAATAATGTACTTGGTGAAAACCACTTTGAGGGGCAGTTCAAGTAGTCTAATACATTTTTATAAGTGTTTAAGAAACCTATAAGACATCATAAGCTTTGGGAAATCATAAGTTGTCGGGGAATGGTTGGAGACAGAAATTTTTTTATAAACAGTTATGTGGAGGAAAGATCTCGCTGTCTATGTTGTAGGCAGCCTTTCTTGAGCCAAGTGCCAAAGGAATATGCAAGGAATATGGCCTAGTGGCATGGAGGCAGCACTTGGGTGATTGCAAAGGAGAAGTTGGGGGTTCCACTCCCTCAAGAGCCAATCTAGCTACTGACTTTCAACAGTAAAAAAAATCTAAATAAATAAAGCAACAAGCTGTTTAAGAATATTTTATCACTTCAAGGTATGAAAGCTTTGAAGTAGTGAGAGAAGAGAATATATAAGGGATCTTACTTATCAAATTGTACACTTGTATGCCTTTATGTGAATTGGATTAATAGACCTCATAATTATTTAATTATTAGGTTTCATATACATTTATTTTGTGTGTTTCCAAAATTCTTTACTATTTTCTTCATGTTTCCTTTTCCAATCTAACCAAAACAACACATTAAAACAATATTTATGTTTTTGATAAATTACATTGAAACAAAATTTTGATCCTTGATGATGGGAGACTGAAATATTTACAGAAACTGGTATGGATATAAAGGAGCCTCAAAAGAGAAGGATTTCAAAACACATTTTTGTTCTGCTTCAATTTCTTGCTCAATTGTTCAGTTTTACGAATGAAAAGAAATAAAGATGATTGAGTGTTTGATTCCTCTTGAATTCCCATAATTTCCTTTTCGTGAATCAACGGAGAAATGAGGTAAACAGAAGAATTGAACACCTATATGCAACCTCCTGACTAAATATCATAATCCTTTTGGAGAAGCAAGTAGTTTAAAATGTCAGACATTGTTAGATGCTTGTTTCATATCATTTATACTAATATGATGGTAATTCATGATCAGCTCTGACCTTTTTATCTGCTGTACAAGCAAGATGAATCTTGCAGTTGGCCTTTTTCGTTAATTTATTCACCATCCAAAGTTCCCCTAAAAAGTCCATTAAATTGTTTATCCCAATCCTCCATCTGCCCTTATAAGGTTCTAGGCCAAAAACTGCCGCCAACCTGGAGCCTTGGTCCTGTCACCATTGGCTTAAATTCTTTTTTTTTTTTTTTTTTTTTCTTTTTTTCCCTAAAGCTATAAGGTTATCTGATCTTTCAAGGGAATAGTGAGGCGGCAATGGATCTTTGGCCTACTTGGCGATTCTTATAAAGTAGATATTTATAGTAATTGACCATTAGTTCGTTTCATGAATTCTCTGCTATAATTTTCTCCAAGAAGAAATTTATGTTTTATTTTTATCTTAAGGAGACCTTTGTGTTTAAACTTTTCTCTGTCATCTTTTGAAGAATAGCTTTATATCCTTGAGGGGACATACCCAGTGGTCTATGGGCCATTCCTGTAATTAATAAAATTTGCATTTGATTCAATAGCATAGCATTATGTTCTAAGAAATATATGTATATACATAAATTTATAGATACATATACGTATGACATCTATACTATAGATCCACCTTACAATATGAGGTAAAAAAGCCAAAATAAGTGATTGTAGCCCTTATAAAAAAGCTAGACATGCATTTGGATATTTCCCTTCAACCTCGCTATATTATTTGACATGAATAGTTGAAGAGAATTCTCCGAAGAGAAAATGGATTATGGGATGGGAGTGTGTGACTTGAACTATTGATTGGTCTATGCATGCATTTATTTATCTGCTACATTGGAATTAACAGCCAAATGTGCCTTTGTTCGAATCATTGTGTAAGGCCCTAGCTAACGGAGTTCAGTGAAGTCAGGCCTCAAACATCAAACAATATTTTACTGAATAGAGTGAAGTATATATAGATTATATGTGTGTATATACATATGTAGAGAGAGAGAGAGATATGTACCTTGTCTTTGGTGTTAAACACATGAGAGTAATGAGCCAAAACTTTTCTAGTGGACATCCTTAAATTATTTAAATCACACAGCAACTTTGATAGATTGATGTGTGCTGTGCCAAACATATAGGGAACTGGGATACGTTGGAGGTTAAGCCAAAAGCAAGAGGGGTGGATACAAGGCATGAGCTTCTCAAATTATATGAAGAGAATTATTCAGCCAACCTCATGCATCTGGTTGTATATGGAAAAGGTAAGTGAGTAATTTAGACAATATTACTTTATCAGCTATAATTCTCTATCTCTTTTGTATTATCAAGTATCATAATCCCTTTTATGTGTATTTATTCAGAGAGCGTAGATAAAATTCAAAGCTTAGTGGAGAGCAAGTTCCAGGAGATCCGAAATATTGATCGAAGTTATCCTTGTTTTCCTGGTCATCCTTGCACATCAGAACATCTTCAGGTATTCATATGACTATTGTAGTAGTCCTTTTTTCGAGGCCATTTTTATTAAGGCAAGAGGTGAGGAAAGATTTATTTATTATTTTAATAGAGAATTATCCATGCTTTTTGTTTTCTCAAAATTGAAATCAGAATAGTATGGATTGATAAAGAAATTGCTGTGAAAGACTGCAATTAATTTTTGGTGCAGTGCAATTTCTCAAATTTTCTAAGCTTAAGAAATACCTCATCAGAGTGAAATTTTATGAATTCTAAGGCTAAAAACCCATAGATTGACCAGCATTTGATATGCAAAGTAGTTAATGATAGATATTGTCTATTGCTGTTTTAAAAAGCTCAGTGCAGCTTCCCTGACAAAACCTGAAAGCTTCTCTAAAAGCTTTAAGTCTGCTTTGAAGTAGGCTGTTCATAGCAAGTAGACAACGATATTTTATATTGGTTAGTACAAGGGACACATATTTTAAGGAGTGAGCAATGTACTATGAAAATTAATGGGGCAAGGGCCCTGGGTTACTTATGAAATGTTTTGAGGCATATTTATTGAGCTTCGGCTGCTGGGGGCAAGGCTCAGCCATAAGCCTCCATAACTATTTCTTAAAACTATGATTGATGAAAATGTTGCATATATCAAAATTGTTGAATCTTGTTTTTGGTTTGAAAAAAAAAAAAAAAAGAACTATGAGATAATCATTTTGTTGCCCTTGTGTTTTATGTTTGTTTTTTAGGTTCTTATTAAAGCCGTCCCAATTAAACAAGGTCACCAGTTGAGGATCATATGGCCGTTAACTCCAGGCATTCGTCATCACAAGGAAGGGCCAAGCAAGTATCTTGGTCACCTGATTGGCCATGAAGGAGAAGGCTCTGTGTTCTACATTTTGAAAACTTTGGGTGGGTTCTCAATATCATTTATGTGACCACCAGCAATAAGCATGTGTGGTATATTCTGCCATCCATCTCCAAAGTCCCAAGCATGGGATTTAGATCCTGGTTAGGACATGATTTCTTATAGTAAATTGGTTTCCTAGGAGAAATGAATGGCCAAGCTGATGAGTGTGTGATTGACTTCTGCACAATAATAATCTTTTTGGGCCTTTCTTTAGAACAATATTATGGATAATATTGCTGTAGCAAACTCTTTGGCTTGTCTTGGTCTTTTTCCTTGCAAATACCTTATATATATATATATATATATTCCAATTATTCTTAGTTAAGGAGCACAATGTTTTGGCTTCTAATTACCTTATAATTCTGATAATGATGTTCACATTCTTTCCACACATTTTTTGTTCAAGATCTTGTTTTAACATCAATTTAATTGAATTTTTTAAATTTCATGGAGGTCAATTGTTTCTCTTTTGACAATTCATCTTGATACAATTTGTATGTATATATGTCTATTGATAAATAAAAAAGGCATCCCTGTCCAATGGGGACGTTACACCTTCCCCTTGGTGGTCACTCCTCCCAAGATGATAGTGATCTTTATCATCCAATTTGCATGGATCAGTTTAAATAGTACAAGTACAACTCCATTGGTATTCGTGGTGGCATTCCAGTTCAGATGATGATACAGATAGTGACTAGATACGTACTGTTCTGGAAGCGTGGCAGGAAATATTCAAGTCAATGAGTCAATGGAAGTGTTAAATGCTTAAAGACAAGATTCATGATATATGGAACTAAGAAATAATATAATTGACATGGAGACATAAATATGTAAGGGATATGTATGAAGTTATGTATACATAATTTGGAGCCGAATGCAAAAATGCAATAAATTGCAATCCCCAAATAGTCGTGATATATAGTTCTAGTTGATTGTTCTTTTGTTGATTCTATACAAGACAATAGTTGTGGAATATATCTATAATGACTATTTTATGGCTTCCGCCAACCAATATTAAGAGTTGTCTGTGTGTGTGTATGTACACTATGTGGGTCAATTGGTAGTTCTCGTGAAATGCCTTTTCTCAAGAAAGTCTTTTGATGTTGTTGCTCTTCTGGAATTTTGTAGGTTGGGCTACTAGTTTGTCTGCTGGTGAATCAGATTGGACATATGAGTTCTCTTTCTTCAAAGTAGCGATTGATCTGACTGATGCTGGTCATGGTTAGTGTCTTTAATCATTCTTTATTTATTTTTCTCTCGGTGGGAGAACAATGGGAGGCAGGGAATTCATCTGGTTTGTGTGTGAGAGACAGGCAGGGAAGAAACCATTTGACTTTCTTTTTGTTAATAGAGATGTGAAGCTGTACTCAAATTTCACATTTATTTTGGTGAAAATCAAGATATAATTTCTCCTACCTAACTGATTTATGTAAAATGCTATCGTTTTACTTAAATGTGACAGAGCATGTTGAAGATATTGTGGCACTGGTGTTCAAATATATACAACTCTTGCAACAATCTGGTCCTTGCAAATGGATATTTGATGAGGTATGTAGACAGCGCATGAACCAAACTTTTGTTCGCAATTAATGTGTATTCAGATGTTGAAAATTGTATGGAGCCCATTGCTGCAGGTTTTCACTGGGAATTTGAGTCTAGAACTGAACTGGTGTACTTTTCTTGCATTGTTCATGCAGTAGGAATATTATCCAACTAGTATTTTTGTTTTCTCAAATGAGATAGTATCATGTTTATATCATTTGCAAATACGGTTGTGTAATTCTTGATGTTTTCACTACTGTTATTGAGGAGATATTTGATTTTTCAAGTGTTCTTCTTAAACAGTTGGCCTTATTATTGGATAATAGAATTTTTCTAAATTGCCATGAACAGATGGTTATCATTGTCTAATGGAATTCATTTATCGACTTGTAAGACACTAACGTTTTTTCTGGATCTTGGATTTGTGAAGGGAAAACAAACAGGAAGGAAGAAGTGAATCAAGTAGAAGCTAAATGTTTTTCACTTTTCCCCTTCCCTTTTCTTTTTACTCCATAAATCCAAGATCCAAACACAGTTACACAGCCTAAATGTACATAACTTTGAGTCAATCCGATTGGAAACTTCTAAATTTCTCCTTAAATTAGTTTATTTTATGTGTGTTTAGAAGCCAGTTATTATGTTCCTTTCAGAATGATCAGGAATGTTTTGACAAGTTTTTTCTATGTCTTGTGTCATAAGCTTTTTTGAGTGTCCTATTCTGGCAAAAGCCGTGCTCACTTTGCAGATGGTTTATAAAATTATGTGCTTGTTGCCACTAATCGAAACCAAAAACATGATGATTTTTTTCTTTGAATCAATATGAACTGAATACTTTCATGCAATTATTTGTCTTAATTGTTTTTCTCTAATTTTGTGTTGGATTCCTCATTGTTCTTTAGTTGTTTAGCTGCACCATTTTTTCATTTTCACAAATTCATGCCTTTCTGATCAAAGGAATTTATTTGGAAGTTAAGTAACTCTGGGCTCAAGTAACGTACCCTGACCAAGTCTATTGGAAATGTTCATGTATCTTTTTCATAATAAAGAGTGCAAGGGAGTTATCATGGAGGAAAAAAAGAAAAACATTGCATCCAGGTTTTCTTTGCTTGCTTCATTGTTTTTGTTAGGATTCTATCTTGAGCCTGATTCCTCTCACATTTCTAACCATTCTTTATAGAGACGTGCTCAATGTTCAGATTTGCAATGTTTTAGCCTATTATTTGAGTGTTTTTGGGTTGGGCCACACAGATTAAATTTGTTATCAGTTTAAATTTGGTAATCATCAGAAAAAAAAAAAAATGACGTAGAAAATATAAGAGGAAAAAAATTAGTTATATATGCGGAAGGGGGCGTAATTGGAATGTCAACATTTTCTTCCCGGTAAGATAATTGTTAGCATTGGACTGTCATGGGGTACATTACTTTTTCCTATTTTCTTAAGTTTTCATGTTATGATGTCAGTGTTATAAGGAGTCCATGTCCCTAGTTAATATCATAATGGCATAAAAAAATGTCAGTATAGTTTAAGCTTATTAGCAGATGGATACGTGTAAATGACCACTGCTTTATCTCTCAATTTTACTGGTTGATAAGTGGCATTATAAATCTATATAATTGGTCTCGTTTGGCATCTAGCTAAAAAGGTCACATTTTTTTTCCGAACTTTTTGTCTTTAGTGACGTATCAAATTTTATTTTTTTCCCATCATATGGTGTCGAAGAATGTAAGGAAGTAAAAAAAAATTGAAAAAAAATCAAAAAGAAGTTATCAAAAAAACTGTTTTTTTTTTTTTTTTAATTTCTTTTCTTTAGTGGACTTTTTTTCATTATTATTATTATTATTTTAACTTTTCTAATCGTGTAGTCTAGTAGAACCTAAAAGTCTAAAGCATTTTTAAAAATTTAGAAAATAAGTTCTCTAAAGACAAAAAAAACTGAAGAAAAAAGCTACTAAGAAAGCCATTCCCAAACACCGACCTTTTGCACATTTCATCATTGCCTTCATGTATCATTACAGGAATGATAAGATTTTTTTTGTTTTTGTTTTTTGATAAATAAGCAAACTTTATTGAGAAAGTATCAAGACGATGCAATGAATACAAAAATCAGCTTTTTTAAGCTGGCAGACAAAAACAAAGAACTGCACGAAAAGCCCAAACAACTAACTAATCAAATCCTCTACAAAATCCACAATAATCAGCACATCCGGATCTACAAGAATGATAAGATTTTTTTCTGTGTGATGTGTTTATAGCCATGATTTAATCTGGAAGGCATTTAGCAGTTTGCTTTCTGATTGTCAATGCTTTGACGTCTACTATTTTTCGTTATCATTTTTCTGATTCTGAGACATTTTAAATTCGTTAATGAAGCTTTCAGCCATTTGTGAGACGGTCTTCCATTATCAAGACAAAATTTCACCTATTGCTTACGTGGTCAATGTTGCATCAAATATGCAGGTAATTTGAGCAGCCATTTGACTCATTTCTATGTTTATCCGATGGTAGTAAATTCTCTCCAATTTATTCATTTATTTTGCAATGTATTTTTCGTTTTTCATGATTCAGCATTTTGTTCATATTGGGCATGTTTGATTAGTAGGATTATAGCATAGGATTGAGATTATTAGTCCATGAACTCACAATCCCATGTTTGATTGCAAATTTTATTAATCAGATTACATGTGTGGCGGACATTCAATCGAACGAAATTGGTGAATTTTTAATATTGAGAGTGGTTGAGGGTCATAATTTCAAGTATGAAAGAAAAAAAACAAAAGAAATACATAATAAATGGTTATCTCACTAATTTAATTGGATAACTACTCCTACTAATTCATGGGATTATTAATCTTTTCACTATTAATCCTGTTAATCAAACAAGGCCATTGAGTAGAATAGACATGGACATGGAACGTGATTACAACACCATGATGGTTTGTCAGCACAATAGATCCTATAAAAGATAGGAAGCAAGACACAACAGTGACACAAGAAGCTATAGACATAAATTTCAGATGTGATATGGTTCATGTGTCAAAAATAGAATTTCTGGTTAAATATTGATAATTGTAAAATGTGAGATATCAAGTATTTTTAGAATGACTTACATTTCATTATATAAAATGCTAATTGTATTATGTTCCTATACTAAGAATGTCTGTTGTGTATTTTGTCACACACCCAATCCAAATCGACTGGTGTGCGAGCCACAGGGTTCAACCCATGAAGACTGTAAGACCCGTCTAAGCAAAATAACCTAATGGAAAGAACAATAAAAAAAGTGTGGAAGCATTTAATTGTAATCAATGGTTTGCATACCTTGACTAAAACCACCCATAGCAACTAACTATTTCACTAAACCAATATAAAATTCAAGAAGTTATTTGTGAATAGAGTTTTTTAAAATAGATATTTCAACTTTTTGTTCACACTACTTTTGCAATACATAGAATGTGAAAAAAAAAATAAATTTCTGACCATTTTGATTTAAATAAAATATAAATGTATTTGTAACGTGAAAAGTGAAGAAAATATTATTTTCGTGCTTATAGAAAATATAAATATGCTTGTGGCTGTGTCCCTGCTGTGTTATGTCTTGATATTTTGAAAATTTCCTGTGTCGGCATGTTCGTATCATGCGTAGTTTATGGGCAATAACGTGATCTTTACTGGTTTAGATAGTCTAGTTCCTTGAGTTGTTGGAGCTTCTGTATAATGGTGGCCCTAATTTTGTAGGTATCCCTTTTGAAAATGAGACTTTAAACAGCATGGTTTCAAAGCTTGGTCATATATGGCAATAGTGGACCAGAGTGATGGTCTCTATATTCATTTCAGCAGGGGAATTAGACAACGCATTTGACATCAAAGTTTCTTTGAATCTATTTTATCTGCATAGAAATGAAAATTCTCTTTGCACAGAATTAGCTGAATGTCTTTGCTTTCTAGTACAATAAAGCTTGGTTGCAAAACCAAAATGCTGATATTCATAAAAATAAACTTTTCATAAAAAACTGAAAACTGCTCATAAAATGTTTGGGATGGTTATTATTATTATTTTGAATTTATTGTCGACAGCAATTTGTCTAAAAAGAACAAAAGGTTATTATTCTTTTAGCCTTATTGTTGAGTTTTTAGAACCCAAAAGCACATGCATAAAAAATTCTCGAATTTCTTTGAGAATAAGTAGATAAGGAGAAGAGGTGAACCAATATCAGAATAACTGGAAGATCTTTTGGAATATTAGTTTCTAATTGCTATGACCTTTATTTTGAATTGTTTTACTTGTGTTAAAATGTCGAGGTCATATGACAATGTTATATTTTGTCTATGATTATTTTATTATAGTACAAAAGAATATCTCCTTTGAAACTGTTCTAAGTGTGCTTTTGCTGTAATAGCGCTGTTGGAAATTATTTTAATATGCATTAATAAATCTTCTTTTATGCTTCAAGTGTTCACCTGTCTTTCAAAGGTTTTTTTGCTATTTCCATTGCATTTGTGGCATGTTTACTAGATATTCCTTTTTCGAAGCCTTTTTAAATGTCGTGCTGCAACAAAATTTTGATCCTTGTGCATGATATTGCATTAGAAAGCATTGCAATTTTAGGCTATTTACCTTTGTGGAGATGTTTTTCTTCTTATTTTTCTGTCGATTTTTAATTAAGAATTTGGATTATCTTCTTTATTTTTATTTTATATATTCTCTTCAACGATGACCAAAATTCTTTCAAACCTGATAGTCTCTTGTACAAACTTTATGAGAAAACAGGATTTTATAACAATGGAAAAAGGAAATGACAACTGCAATTTCATTTTTAACATACGGTTCCCACCGTACTTATAAAAGTAGCATGTGCAACCCCCTTCAAATTCTTTCGTCAACAGAATGTTAATTTTTTTGGATGTTGTGCCAGTCTCGGTTACCATCCTTGTGCTATGTCTTGATAGTCTTCTTCTATTTTTAATCTTCTTTCCAAGAGGATCAAATAATGAATAAGCAGCGCATCTTTTGATTTGTCCTTTGAACTTTTTTTTTGATAAATGATTTATCCTTTGAATTTTTCATCCTTGAGATCCCACTTATCTGCTAACTGGGGGGTTGAAAAGTTGCATGGCCCATGGCTAGCCAAATTCTCCCCATGATTATTCTTAGATGGATGACGATGGCATGAATATGCAAGTGGTTATTGGATTAGGAGTTGTTTCTGGATTTTATTTTTTGTTTTGTGGAGATGCATTTTCTTTCTGTGTTTTCTTACTTGTAGAGGATGCCTCATCCTTGCCTCTTTTTTGATCTATTCAATAAAATTCTGTTTTTGCTGATCAAAAAAAAAAAAAGTTCTGTCATTTGAATTTAGAGGTGGTTGATTGGTTTTGAATGGTATAATTTTTTCTTATCCTGATGTTTATTGTTTTTTACTGTCTGAGGTGCATTCTTTACAGAAAGCTGTATAGAGTACAAGCTTCAGTTCACTAGTCAAGCACACTTATAAATGGAGTAGAATTCAATTTATTTGATGAGCTTGCTAAGTCTTGGTTTGGCTTAGTAAGCCATGATTGCTTTTATGGTTTTATTTATATATTTAAGTCTTTATGTGGAATTTTCTTTGTACCATTTAAGTAGGAAAAGATTGATGCTACTTTTTTGCAATGAAGCATTGTTGGAGGATAATTTAAGAGCAACCCACCACTTGCCTTGATGAGTTTGGATCATTGAATATTAAGCAAGATCAGTCAGTTTATTATGCTGACATGTGCTAGATGAAGGTGAAGGTTCCCACTTCATCTAGACTGTAAATGAGATGAAGCCAGCCAAGTACAAGGAGCTTGAGCTTGGTTCAGTAGCATAGGAGCTAGGCTCAATCTCAGCTTAGACTTGTTTTGACAAGTAAAATTCATACAAAGCCGGTTTTTGGAGATAAGCCACTACTAATTCGATATTTCCTGGAGACGTTTCTTTGATTGACTGGAGTGTAGTTTTTGATTCTCTCTTCTTCTTCTTCTTCTTCTTCTTCTTCTTCTTCTTCTTTTTTCACATTTTATTTATTTTTTTACAAGATGTAGTTAAGAAGTTCAGCTTTTCTCTGCTTCTCTTTCTTTGGCTTCTTGCTTTGCACTTCAACTTTTCAATGAGAATCTTGAGGGTCCATTTGATTAGAGTAAAAAATATGATGGAAAGCAAAAGTGATAGATAGTGAAGTGAAAGAAAAGGTTGAAGGAAAATTTATTTTCTCGTTTGCATTTGGTTTAATTTTTTGAGAGAAAGTTACAATAGTTGGCTACTTTAATGAGAGAAAAAAGTGACTGCATTTTTTTTGTAAGAATCTAGAAGCAAAGTTGCCATTTGTATAAGATATTTAACTTTGTTGTATTTTCCACCCTTCTCCTGCTAAACAAATGCATGAAATTAAATAGTTGAATTTTTGTTCCCTTTCCCCATCTTCATCCTGTTCAAACTCTGTCTGAGTGATTGTATGTTGTTTCTTCAGCAGTCACTTGCTTTGCTGACATCAACTGTTCGTTTGAAATTATTTTGCAGTTGTATCCTCCTAATGATTGGCTAGTGGGGTCATCCTTGCCCTCTAAATTCAGCCCAACCATTATTGAATCAGCACTCAATGAGCTTACCCCAAACAACGTTAGGTGAGTTCATTGCTGCTCCGAGAAGCTCTAACTTATTATATTACTGATACATATGCTATGATTGACACTTCCTTCCCTTTATATATTTGTTTTGTCCAGGACGTACATTTAGTATCGATGATGCAAAATGTCCTTAATTTTGGCATTAGTAAACATGCTAATGAAGCATTCAGACTTCAGTTTACACAGAGCATACAAGATCACTCTGTGCATGCCTGCAATACTTGTTATACATTGCATGTTTGTTTTAGTTATTATTAGAGAGGTCCATTACATGCTATGAACAAATAACAAAGACAGGAGTTCGCAGCTCAGATAAATAAATGATTGTATGTTGTTCTTATATACCTACTTTATTGAAAAGACACATGGAAAATGCTTCATCCTCAGTTGGATCAGAAACTATCCAGAGAGTAATGTGACTAATAAAGTTTTCTAATAGAATTGTTGTCTTTGCGAGTTAAATATTGTAAGTGTCAATATAGTCAATAATAAGTCAATTTGCATGTCGCTGTGCATACAGGATCCAAATGCCATTGTTTCAAGTATACTCATAACATGTGGTTTGGCTGGCATAATATGAAAGCATGTTTAAGGTGAATGTTCATTTATTTCATCTAGAAATTTAGGATGCTAGGAACTATCCAGAAAGGATGGGAAAACTGAAATTTAGGCAATCAACAGTGTCTTGCCTTGCTACTTGAAGGTTTGATTTCAATAGAATATTCAAAAACTTGATTAACGTCTGCTAATTTGTCATTGGATTTTACAGTAATTATGGGTATTGTGAGTGCTTAATTCATCTTTCCCTCCTCTCCGTTTAGTACATAGCTAGTGTATTTACTGGTAAAGCTTCATTAGTACACTTGCCCAAATGGAAGGTAATGATATTGAGGACATTTCTTTCGCTTGGCAATTTTGATGTTGAATAGATGTTTAGACAAATAATGAATACTTGTTGACTATGCTCTTGTGTCCATTCTTGCCCAACAATTGTTGGGACACTTGCAAAAGTGTTCACCTTTATTGACTTAAGTACGTGCAGAAGTCCAAGGGCATTACTCCTCCTTGTCAAAGAATTTTTATATGGTTATTATTTTAGGTTAAGTATGCTATATAAGTGAATTCACTTTCATTATTGTACATCACATTCTATCCCACATCGTCTAGGTAGGAAAAGTTCCTGGGCTATATAAATGAGTTCATATCCCTTCCAAGTAACAACATGCTTTAAACCCTTGAGGGCCTAGCTCAAAGTGAACAATTGTTATGATTTGAGATGGGGGTGTTATAGTAGCAGAAGTTGTTGGAATATTTCCTTATTTCCTTATTTAGATTAGATTGTGATTGATTGATTGATTGTGATTCCTTAATCAGTCAGTCAATCAATCAATATAAAAGGTGATTCCTTAATCAGTGCCTTAGGGCTTCCTTTTGTAACAGTTGATTGGCTAATATAAAAGGTGATGATATCATAATCATCACTCAAGCTTTGTATTCTCTTAAATTATATGGTATTAGAGCCAAAACCCTAAAAACCGTCACTCACACAGCCGCTATCACCAACTAGCCATCACCTATCACCACCCATCCTGTATCGCTAGTCCCTGAGTCTCTGTCGGAATCAGCCAAGGTCCCACAGAGCTGTTTCGACTTCAGCCGAAGGCCCCTCTGGCCTAGTCGACCCTTGTAAGGGTTGTCCTAGCCTCTCTTTATGTATTTCGGCTCTTGTGGATGAGTGTTTGTGGGTTGCCCATCTTTTGCTGCCTCTGAGTCTCTGTTGGAACCAGCCAAGGTCCTACAGAATTGTTTCGACTTCAGCTAAAGGCTCCTCTGGCCTAGTCGACCCTTGTGAGGGTTGTCCTAGCCTCTCTTTATGTATTTCGGCTCATGTGGATGAGTGTTTGTGGGTTGCCCATCTTCTGTTGCCTCATGTTTCTTTCCTTCTACTTTCTTGAACACAGTTCAGCACTTGTTTTGATTGGATGTTTGTTTTTCTGTATTTGATTTATTTTTTTGGTCCATAGATGACCCATTAATCTGATTGTTATGCTCCCGCAGTGGTTTGTATGTGATTTTGCTTGTTCCAGCGCATTCCATTCCTCTTTTGATTTGTGCAAGGTATTTTGGGTTGAAATTGTAGAGTTCTTATGGTTGACCTAACTAGTGAATCCATCACTACTCTCACCCATCAAAAGGGGATAGCTGCTGGCCAGTTATGACTACTACATCTGAGAACCTCAACCCTAGTGTCAAAATCACCACCGCTCTGTTTAATGGTTAGAATTACCTTTCATGGTCTCAGTGTCTGACACTTTTCTAAAGAGTAGGGGGAAGATAGGATATGTGAATGACAGAGTTCAAGCACGAGGTATTACCGATCCTGGCTATGACCAATGGGAGATTACCAACTCTTTAATTATGGGGTGGCTCATTCATTTCATAGTTTCTGAGGTTGGTGAAGGCTACTTATCCATAGATATTGCCCAGGATATTTGGGAAGCAGTCGCTGCTACATATTCTCGAAAAGGAAATTTTTATCAATTTTTTGAGCTGCGCCGGTCTATTGAGCCTTAGTATAAGGGGAGCAGACAGTGTTCCAATATTACATCTTTCTGACTAATGGTTGGAAACGCCTAGATCATCTCCTAGATTACAGGCCTGTCTGTACAATTGACTCAGTTGGTTACCAGAAGTTTCTTGCACAAGAGTGGGTCTTCAAGTTCCTAGAAGCCCTCAGCGTGGAGTTTGATCTAGTTCGGGGTCGTGTCCTTGCCATCTCTTCAAGAGGCCTTTGCATATGTACAGAATGAGAAAAATCGTCGTTCTACTATGTTACTTTCGGCTATTGGAGACCGTTCAACATTATTTTTTGCTCCGTCTCAAGATGGGGCTGATTTGTCATTACCTATTTCCCATCCTTTAGGGAAGGATACTGTGTTCTGTGATTACTGTCACAAGTTGCGACATACTCGTGAGACGTGTTGGAAGTTTTATGGGGCTCCATCAGGGAGTCAGGATGATCAGTTTGGTACTAGAGGCGGTCAATCAGGCCAGCCTAGAAGACATGGCTCTAATCTACGGGCCTATCAGTCTAGTGCTGTTGACATCCTTGATTCAACTTGCGCTTCAGTTGGTCTGACTTTTGATAGTTTGTCTAGCATGACTTCTCTTGAGCTTGAGGATGTTCTGTGTCATTTGTTGGTCCGCCGGTCTTCTACTTCTCCCACTACATCTTTCTTGTTGTTTGCCCGTTCAGGTAACTTAGCTTCTTCTCCTAGTGCTTTTCTTTCCCATAAGTCTTTGTCATGGATTATTGATTTTGGTGCCTCAGATCATATGTTTGAGTCTTCAGATCTTTTCTCAGCATATAAGCCCTCTTCAGGTTAAGATAGAGTTAGGATTGCAGATAGTACTGTTTCTTTTATTTCTGAGGAAGGTTTAATTTGTGTCACCCCTACCTTACCTCTGTCATCAGTGCTCCACGTTCCTAATTTTTTTGTTAATCTTTTATCCTTAAGTCGTATTACTAAGGGTTTGAACTGTAGTGTGATATTTTTTTCCTGATCATTGTCTTTTTCAGGACCTTGTCATGAGAAGGACGATTGGCGGTGGTAGTGTAGAAAATGGTTTCTATTTCTTAGATAAGCTGAACAAGCTTACTCATCATTCCATCCAGTTCTTCTCAACCACCGAGGATTTATGATTGTGGCATCGACGTCTTGGGCATCCTTCATTTCATTTACTTAGGCATTTATTTCCATCTGTTTTTACAAACAATAATGTGTCTGAGTTTCTTTGTGAGTCTTGTCAACTTGGCAAATAATACCGAGCTTCTTTTGCTCCAAGTCTTAATAAAAGTTCAGCTCCTTTTTCCTTAATACATTGTGATGTGTAGAGTCCATCTCGTGTTGTATCTTTAAAAGGCCATAGATGGTTTGTTATCTTTATTGATGGTTGTATCATTTTACCTTTCTCGTACTACTTGGATGTATCTTATGAAAGAAAAAAGTGAGGTTCTCTATTTTTCTAAATTTTCATAAAATGATTTGAACTCAGTTTGAGGCAATTGTCAAAATCTTGCGTTCTGATAATGTGGGTGAATACATCGATTCGGGGTTAGAGAGCTATTTTTCTACTCATGACATTATACATTAAACATCTTGCACCAATACCCCTCAACAAAATGGGGTTGCAGAGTGCAAGAATCATCATCTTCTTGATATGGCTTGCTACATATGTTTTTCTATGAGTGTGGCTCGCTCTTATTGGGGGCGAGGCCATTCTCACCGCAGCCTATCTTATTAATCATCTTCCTACCCAGGTTTTGCCAAAACAAGCTCCACTTTAAGTCTTTGTTGGTTCAGAGTCTTTGTTTTTCATTCCCCCTAAAATATTTAGTTGTGTCTATTTTGTCCACAATCATTCTCCTACTCATGGTAAGTTGGACCCTCACTCTCTCAAGTGTGTTTTCCTAGGATACTTGCCTACTCAAAAGGAATATAAGTGTTATCACCCTTCCTCTCATAAGTGGTTTGTGTCTATGGATGTCACCTTCTTTGAGTCCCAATCCTAGTTCTTGTCTTCTCCAGTATCACACAATCATCCCTTTAGGGGAGCCTTGGTGTGAAGAGATTCCTGTTGTCCCTGTTGCTCCTATGGTGGAACCAGTTGTTCTTGCACAACCTATGACTAGGAATATAAAATCCAATGCCACCAAGGGCAGGGAAGAACAAGTTTATGTCAGGTACAAAGGCAGATAGAAAGTTACTTGGATACAAGAGACTACTTTTGCGAGACCATGGCCATCTTTTACTTTTGATCTATGTTACATGGACTCAGATACGAGTGTCGAGTACGGGTGTGTATCCAAGCGTCAGACCTTCATAAATTTAAATTTTAGGATCTTGGGGTACGTATCCAAAATTGGATATGGGTACGGGGACACGTCATATGCACATATATATTGTATATTTTATAATATTCTCGGATGAGATGTT